TGTCCCCCCTCTTTGGTGGTGTCCCCTCCATGTCCCCTTGTCCCCTGTCACCAGGGCTGTCCCCGCCGTGTCCCCCTGTCCCCTCCGTGTCCCCTGTCCCCACCATGTCCCCCTGTCCCCTCTGTGTCCCCTGTCCCCGCTCACCGGGGCTGTCCCTGCTGTGTCCCTGCTGTCATCCGCTGTCCCCGCCGTGTCCCCTGTCCCCTCTGTGTCCCCTGTCCCCTCTCACCGGGGCTGTCCGTGCCATGTCCCCCGTCCCCTCCGTGTCCCCGCTCACCGGGGCTGTCCCTGCTGTGTCCCTGCTGTCATCCGCTGTCCCCGCCGTGTCCCCTGTCCCCTCTGTGTCCCCTGTCCCCGCTCACCGGGGCCGTCCCCGCCGTGTCCCCGCTGTCCCCGCAGGGTGTCGGGGTGCGCGGCCAGCGCGTGCCGCCGGATGTCCCCGAGGTGCAGCGAGGGCAGGGGACAGGAGCAGAGCAGGCAGCGCAGCCGGTGGCCCCCGGCCTCCAGGTCCAGCAGCAGCTCCGCCCGCAGCCACCCCCGCAGCGAGTCCCCAAGTGCCACCCCCCCCGGGGACACCTTGGTGGCCCTCGGGGACGGGGCACGGGGCCCTGCGGGAGGGGACAGCGCCGTCAGCAAGGGGGGACAGAGGGGCTGGGGACACTTTGGGGACCCCTTGGGGACAGGCCAAGGGACACTGGTGACACTTTGGGGACCCTGGGGACATCCTGGGGACCCATTGGGGACAGGTAAAGGGACATTGGTGACACCTTGGGGGACCTTGGGGACAGGCCAAGGGACGTTGGTGACACTTGGGGGCCCTTGGGGACAGGCCAAGGGACGTTGGTGACACTTGGGGGCCCTTGGGGACAGGCCAAGGGACGTTGGTGACACTTGGGGGCCCTTGGGGACAGGCCAAGGGACGTTGGTGACACTTGGGGGCCCTTGGGGACAGGCCAAGGGACGTTGGTGACACTTGGGGGCCCTTGGGGACAGGCCAAGGGACGTTGGTGACACTTGGGGGCCCTTGGGGACAGGCCAAGGGACGTTGGTGACACTTGGGGGCCCTTGGGGACAGGCCAAGGGACACTGGTGACACTTTGGGGACCCCTTGGGGACAGGCCAAGGGTCACTGGTGACACTCTGGGGATCCTGGGGACCCATTGGGGAAAGGCCAAGGGGCACTGGTGACACTTGGGGGACCTTGAGGACAGGCCAAGGGACATTGGTGACACTTGGGGGACCTTGGGGACAGGCCAAGGGACGTTGGTGACGCTTGGGGACCTGCCGCTGCCACTGCGGTCATGGGAGGAGCCACAGAAAGGGGCGGGGCTGAGGGACTGGGTGTGGTCTGGGTGGGGCTGGTCTTAAAAGGACAGTGTCCCTTTAAAGGGGCGTGGCTTTAACAGAAAGGGGTGGGGCTACAGCCGAAGAGGGTGTGGTCAATGTAGGACTGCAGCAAATGAGAGCGTGGCCTGAAGTTAAAAGGGGCGTGGCCACATTTAAAGGGACAGTGCTGCTACTAAAGAGGCGTGGCCACATTTAAAGGGACAGAGCTGCTCCTAAAGGGGCGTGGCCACATTTAAAGGCACAGAGCTACTCTAAAGGGGCGTGGCTACATTTAAAGGGACAGAGCTACTCTAAAGGGGCGTGGCTACATTTAAAGAGACAGAGCTGCTCCTAAAGCGGCGTGGCCACATTTAAAGGGACAGAGTTGCTCTTAAAGGGGTGTGGCCACATTTAAAGGGACAGATGCTCCTAAATGGGCGTGGCCACATTTAAAGGGACAGAACTGCTCTAAAGGGGTGTGGCCCCATTTAAAGGGACACCACACCCCTTAAAGCCGCCGTGCCCCTCCTTCCCCACGCCCAGCCCCGCCCGTACCTGTCCCGTGGGCGCCGCCGGGGGGTCCCTCGGGGCGGGGGCTCTGTCCCAGGTGGGCGTCCCAGGAGCGCAGCACCAGCTGCTTCTCGCGGGGCCCCCAGGCTCCGGAGTAGGGGTGCTTCTGGCGGATGTGGCGCTTGATGGTGCTGAGCTTGAGCGTGGCCAGGGCGCTGCCGCACACCAGGCAGCGCATGCCGTGCCGCGCCGCGTTGAACTCCATCAGGTACTCGGAGCGCCAGCGCTCGTGGTAATAGCGGCGGTGGTCCCGGCCCGGAACGCGGCTGCGGCCCGGCCGCGACGCCCGCCAGTCCCGGGGCTGCTCCCGGGGCTGCTCCCGGAGCCTTTTCTGGGGCTGCTCCCGGGGCTGCTCCCAGAGCTTCTCCCGGGGTTCCTGGGGCTGCTCCTGGAGCCTTTTCTGGGGCCGCTCCCGGGGCTGCTCCCGAGGCTCCTGGACCTGCTCCTGGAGCCTTTTCTGGGGCTGCTTCTGGAGCTTCTCCAGGCGTTTCTGGGGCTGCTCCCGGAGCCTTTTCTGGGGCTGCTCCTGGAGTTTCTCCCGGGGTTTCTGAGTCTGCTCCCGCGTATTCTCCTGAGGTTTCTCCTGGGGTTTCTCCCAGTGTTCCCAGGGCTGCTCCCGGGCTTTCTCCTGGGGTTTCTCCTGGAGTTTCTCCAAGTCCCAGGCCCGGGGTTTCTCCTGGGGCTTCTCCCGGGGTTTCTCCTGGAGTTTCTCCCGGGGTTTCTGGGGCTCCAGGCTCCGGCGCAGCCCCCGCGGGGAAGGGGCTGCAGGGAAGGCCAGGGAGGGAGGTCCAGGTATGGGGGAGGTTCAGGGGGGATTTGAGGGGTGGAGGGGACACGAAGGATTAGGGGCAAGGCTGGGGGGACTTAAAGGGACAGAGCAGCGAAATTGGGGGGGACAGGAGATCTTAAAAGGGGCTGAGGGTTCTTAAAGGGACAGCGCGCTTCAAGGGGCAGGGTCCTTAACTGAGGAGGGGGTGGGGAAGGGAGGGGCACATCCTCAAGGGACAGGGACATCCTCAAGTCCCAGGGGATCTGAGAATTCCTGTGGGCATCTTAAAGGGACAGGGATCCTTTAAGGGGACAGGGGCACCTTAAAGGGGCAGGGACGTCCCGAATTGGATGGGGACATCCTGAATTCCTGGGGACGTTTCAAAGGGATCATTTCAAGGGATGGAGGCGTCTTCATGGGACAGGGCCACCCTAAATAGAACCAGGTCATCTTAAAGGGACAGGAGCCCGTTAAAGAGGCCGGGGTCCCCCAGCCGGTGACAGGGGATGGCAAAGGGCTGGGGGGGGGTCGGGGGGCTTCTTAAAGAGCCAGCGCCGCTCCCATTGTGCACCAAAGGGGGGGTCCCACCGCCCCCCCCGCTCTCCCCCCGCCGTCTCGGTGCTCACCTGGGCTGGCCGGGGCCGGGAGCGGGCCGGGGGCGGGGTG